GCCCTTTCTCTGTCTGTCTGTCTGTCTGTCTGTCTGTCTGTCTGTCTGTCTGTCTGTCTGTCTGTCTGTCTGTCTGTCTGTCTGTCTGACATATAACTGAACGCCATTAAAAACGCAACGTTTTCAAAAAGTTATAAAAAAGCCAAATAATATGCTCTGATCGACACGATGTTTGGAGACACAAATGAGCAGTTGTTAGTTCACACACTCATGCATGATTTTTGCTAATTGCATTAGTACTTTTCAAAACAATACAGCAAATTATGCTTTAGTAACATGTTTTCATTAGTTGCTATATTAAAAACGATTTTTAAAAATTATTTACCTGGATGATGACCTGTAGCTCTTTCTTAACAAAAACCCTAGCTTCTTTTCGATCATTTTTCAAAATCTATTTCATTACAAGACTCCTCAACTTCGCGAAGCTGACCGCAACTTTCGCTTCCGCCTTGTTCATTGCGGAAAATATGCCTGAGAAGCAGCAATACGCCCAAATTGCATTGCTTGTATTGTTCTCGACTTGTACAAATATTCTTAGCACACTTGAAATGTCCAGGATAGACAAAGAATAGGACAGTCTCGAGTGACCAGTCCTGTTCCAGAGAGGCAGGTTTTGCTGTCGCATCTGCGAAATCGTTTCGTTCCTCAAAAGTAACAGTTTACGGTATGCGTAGAGTGCCTGAACATTTTTCTTTCATCAGTGTGAGGTGAGGAGAAGTAAGTTCAGGACTTAGATCAAGAACGCCTTATTTAAGACCGAAATGAAGAAAGCCGCGACAACAGTGCCGTCTTCACGGTGCAAACAGCAAGAAGAAAAAAATCAGAATCTCTCAGTCATCCAGCACGACACTCCTGCCCTTACTCTGCCCATTTAACAAACAACACAGTGTCTGGAAGATCATAATATGAATGTCATGGACTGGCTAGTGCTAGTACCGGACGTGTCTCCAACAGAGCATCATGTATTCAATAAACTGAACCGCAAAGCGTGTGCCGTTTTACGAATCTGCAGCTACTGGGAGATCGCGCTGCCACGAAAGTGGGACAGAATTTCTCAACAAAACCTTGGAAATGTTATAAAATCCGTGTGAAGAAGAGTTCTGGTCTGTATACATGTTAATAATGGCCGTACCATTTAGTAAGAGTGAGAGATTTTAAAAATTGAGTTTCAATTTGTGTTTACCCACAAATTTATCTAAAGGGGGTACTACGAAAGAAGGAAGACAATGTATCGAAATCGGTTTAAGTGTGCGATCAAAATGGTTCACATATTTTGTTGGAAATTGAATAAACTTCTAAAACAACTTCTTTTAATCTATTTTCATTTGATACAAACGTGTTCAGACCATGCGAACGAAGTGTTGCGTTTTTAATGGCGTTCAGTATTATAAGTGAGAATGTGTGTCAGCAAACTAACACGATATTTCGGTGTGTGTGTGTGTGTGTGTGTGTGTGTGCGTGTGTGTGTGTG